TTTTTTTTCACTTATGGATTGAAAAGGTAGCATACTTTGTTACCGTATTGCCATTTATAACTTCCATCACTTACAAAAAAGAGCATGTGCTTATCAAGCTTTTTTGCTTTTTGGCCCTATACGCTTTTAGATGATCAGCGACTGGACAATCAGTTGAATTCATTTCCAGGTACGCAGTTACTGGGCCAAGCAATTCGCTTTTGATCGATATGTTGGATCTACTCCACAACTGTTCACATGGAATGACATGAATGAACCTTCGGTAATCCACTCAAAATCAGCTGTTTCGTTTGCGTACGGAAATCGTTAACCTTACTTCCAGGTGTTCAGTGGTCCGGAAGTGACAATGGACAAGAACTGTCTTCATCATGGTGGCGTTGAGCATCGAGAGGTATCTAGTGAGATTAGTCGATTCTTGTACTAATCGGAAATGTTCAGATTCACAACATGTATGGCTTCTTACAACATTCTTCCACTTTCCAAGGACAATTGGATCGAACTGGAGGAAAAGATCGGCCGTTTGTCCTTACCAGGCTAGTAATCGTTCCCTTGTGTTTTGTTTATGTCCTTATAGAGCGTTTTAGAGCTGGTTTTGTTGGTTCTCAACGCACAACAGCTATATGGACCGGAGACAATACAGCCGAATGGGCACATCTCGCTAAAGCAGCTCCTATGCTCCTTTCGTTGTCTATTTCTGGTGTCCCTTTTGTAGGTGGGTAGCATTTTATGATTTTCCAGCCATTCTTTTCTGGAATATTCTTTGTTTGTTATTCTTTGTTGATTGTTGCTTCTCAACTGTTTATTGTTCTGAGTCAAGCGTAAAAATAACATGTGAATTTGCGGTTCTTATGGAGAAAGCTCGTATCAGTAACCTAATTCTGTCTTGCTAAATTTATTATTAGCTTAGTATAGAGGCGCTATAACTTGACTAACTACTGGAAGTTTTCCATATTCCAGCATATTTTTATGCTAATATACACTGTAATCTACAATAGACCTTTGCTTAGTTCATTGTTTTGTATGCATTCCTTCTTTCTGCTTGTACTACCAAACTTTAGGTGCCGATGTCGGTGGTTTCTTTGGAAATCCTGATGAGCAGCTGTTGACTCGTTGGTATGAGGCTGCCGCGTTCCAGCCTTTCTTCAGGTGGGATTCTTATCTTGCCTGATTTTTCTACAGTGTGAGCTATGTTCTAGAGCCCATGCTCATATTGACACGAAGAGACGTGAACCATGGTTGTTCTCAAGGCCTACGATGGAGGCAATTCGACAAGCTATTAGGAGACGTTATGCATTGCTGCCTTATTGGTAAGTGAGCTTCAGTTCGCTGTTTATGGTTTGGGTCAACACTTTTTGTTGTTAGTAGCATATAATTCAGGTATGCTCTTTTCCGAGAACATGCCTTGACCGGAGCGCCACCAATGCGACCCATTTGGTTCGAGTTTCCCAAAGAACAGAAATTTTTTGACTATGAGAAGGTTCACATACTTTTTTCTGTTTGTTTCCCTTTATTTTATCCGTTATAGGCATGGATGGTTGGTAACGCCTTGCTAGTTCATCCTGTTGTTGAGAAGGACACTTATAGTGTGAATGTTGATCTACCTGCTGGTGAACAATCGGTCAGTTCTTGTAGCATGTAAACCTTACTTTGTTTTTTCGTGGTCATGATTTCGTTTTGTCCTA